ATCATTAATATCTTCAAAATCATATCCAATATCTTTCCAGTATTCAATAAATTCAGGTTTTAATAAAATTAATCTTGTAATAATATTAAGTTGTGAAATATCTTCATGACCATCATTTGAAGGTAGTTTTTGATTACTTAATAAAATATTATACTTTCTTCTAAGAAATAGAATAAATTTAAATTTATAAATCAATTCTTTAATTTTATCGGTATTTAAATTTATTTCTTTAATTATTTGTTCATAGTTATAATTTTCACCAGTGAGAAGACGTAATGATTCAAGATCATTTCCTTTAAGGTATAATTGATCATTATATAATGAATGTGCTTTTGATAAAAGAAAAGAATATATAGGTAAAGATAAATTATTAGTCCATGATTTTACAATTTTAATATTTAGTGATAAATTACTATGTTTAATTTTTAAATTTATAATTTGGTCATCGATTTCACCGAAATTTAGAGTGAGTTTTTGAACGAAATATCTAGAAATTCCAATTTTTTCTATAATCATTTTTACGATATTTATATTGGTAAAATTAGGACCGAATTTGATAGCATGAAAAAGAACATGATAATTTTTAAAATGAAAAAACAACCAATTCATTTTAAATTGATTATCGATAATAATGTCATGAAAAATTTTACATGTTAACATTAAATCTATCAAGATTTTGTTATAGATAAAAATTTTAGAAAGAAGTTCAGTTGGTATTTTAGTAATATAATCAACCATTTTGAATGATAATAATTCATTCAAGATAAAAAAAAACAATTTTATTTATATTTGTTAAATATTAATAATATCAATTAAATTTATTAATTATTTGAAAACGTATTTTAAATCAATTTAAATCTTAAACATAATTCATAATTCTTATTTATTTCAATATTGAATATTTATATTTATACATAGATAATAATAATTTATACATAATAAAAATAAAAATCTTATAATTCTTAAATATATTTATATTTTTTTTTTTTAGATATATTTTAAATTCTCCATAATAAAATTCACAATATTTTCTTTTCTTGGTTCAATCAAATTATTATTAATAAATTCTAATAAATCTTTTTTGTTAGTTTTTAAAATTTTAGTAAAAGAATTAATAAAAATATCACCAACGTAATTAATTCTTTGTTCAAAAACATCAAAGATATTAACAACTATAAATTTATTAAATTCAAATCCTAAATTAATATAATCTTGAAATCTTATAATCACTGTATTTTTATCTGGTTTAACATATGTTGTATTCGGATTAGGTGGAAAAAGAATAAGTAATAATCCTTGAAAAACCAATTGAGTAAAATCTTTACAGTCGTATCCAATATTATTCCAGAATTCAACTATTTTTGGTTCTACTATTATAGCTCTAGCAAAAACATTTAATTGAATATTATTTTCATATCCATCAGAAGGAGGATATGTCTTCGAATTTGTTATTAATTTATAAGGATGTGGTGGAAATGGTATAAATTTTATATTTTCTATTAAATATTTGATATCATCAATATTTCTCCGTAAAACATTTACAGCATCGTTAATTACATGAGGACCACCAGTTAAAAAATGAAATAATTCTACATCATTCCCTTTAAGATATAATTCATCTTTATATAATAATTTTGCTTTGTTTAAAAAATAAATATATACATCTGTAGGTAAATCACTACCCCATGGAAATTTAATTTTATTTTTCTAAGAATCATTAATAGTAGAATTATTATGTTGTAATTTTAATTCCAAAAGTTTTTTATCATATAAACTAAATCTAAGAGCAAGTCGTTGAATAAAATATCTAGAAATTCCAATTTTTTCAACAATCATATTCGCAAGGTCAACGTTGATAAAATTAGGACCCAATCTGACAGTGTGAAAAAGAGCGTGAGATTTTCCAAAATGGAAAAATAACCAATTCATTTTAAATTGATTATCTTTAATAATGTTAAGAAAAATTTTACATGTCAACATTAAATCTATCAAGATTTTATTATACTTGAGAATTTTAGAAAGGAGTTCACTTGGAATTTTGGTAATATAATCAATCATTTTGAATGATGAGAAATTAATTAAAAAAAAAAAAATAATTTAATTTATATTTGTTAAATATTAATAATATGGAAATACATTTCCAATAAATTTTAATTTATAAATATATTTAATAATATTCATACATTTATTTAATAATATTTTTCATAGAAATTGATATTCATATATAATTAATATTCTTAATTCTTTTTCTCATATTATATATAGTTGTTCTTTTTCTTTAGGAATTTCCATTTCTGTTTTTGAAATAGTATCTATATTTTTTGTAATAAATTTTTTAAGTATATTTCTTTCCATTCTAGAAGCATGTTCTTGAATATTATACAAAAGAATAATCTTTTCAATTTTTAATAATTCACTAAAACATTCAATAAACATATTACCAATTTTTTCAATTTTAGATTGGTGAATATAAAAAATATTTTGAATTATAAAATAACTTAATTTAAAACCTAAATCTAGGTATTCTGTATATCTTTCGATTACTTTTTTTTTAGAAATAATAATTAAGTCTTCTTTTAATGGAAAAAGAACAAGTGACAATCCTTCCATGACTAATTTATTAATATCTTTCCATCCATATCCAATATCTTTCCAATATTTAGCAAATACTGGCTTAAGTACAATTATTCTTGCAATAATATTAAGTTGTTTATTATTTTCATAACCATCATTAAAATATGTTAAATTATT